AAAAACTTTCTAAATCAATCCTTCCACAATCCTAGGAATATATGCAATTCTATTTTCAGATCTGAACCAGTAACCCCACGTTTTCCAACAGATCGTATGAACCGAATTGTTTCTAAAGGCACTTGCAAAAAAGTCAGAGAGCCCCGAGGTGTGTTCCTTGGGGAGAACTCTCCAAGTCAGTAAGTGAGCAAAGGAACATTGGACCAAGCAGAAGAGGCTAGGACGAGGTGAGGGCTGAAAGGGTGCTATAGTGTGCATACCTTTCCTAGGGCTGGGGTGTCTTAAATATTTATAGAGGAAGTGTTGTGCTCGTCGAGGAGTTCTAATCCTATTGGGAGACAGCTGCTACAAGTAGACCCGGCCCAAGCTTCTTGGTGATTGTCCTTATTGGGAACTAGGCATACTAGAGGATTCCGGGTGAGCTAATTGGTCAAGTTAGCAACTGTGGGGCAATTTGGGTCATCGATGAGTTCCTTGAATGTTTTTTTAGGGACACATGGTGACTCGGGATTGGACCGCACAAATGGGCCTCATCACTTGCCCTCCACTTTCAAGACCAAGGTGGTCATCTTGCTACTCTTACAGTAAGAGGTCGAATCGACTGAAGAAAGTAATCCAGCTATTTGAAGTGGGGGCCAAGCCTGAGCCATGCCGTGGTTGTTCCAAGGTGATGAAAGAGGCATTCCATTCACGGCACGTGGGTCATACACATTCTTTGAGGGCTTGCATCACTTCTGCTTGTGTAGTTGGCATGGGTGTTGTCATTAGTGTATCACTTCATCTTCCAAGGCGCTTGTCAAAGTGAACCCTCAATCATGGAATGCGTGGCAAGTGTCAAACTAGATTTGAGCCATTGATGGGCAACTGATCTAAGCCGTTGAAGGTCTTACATAAGGGAAGAGCCTCGATTGATTCAAACTTCACCATTTGCTCTAGAGCCCTTAGGGAGATTAGAGCGGAGCTGGGTCATTATTGAGTTCAGCTTGATGCTTAGTGTCTTCCTCAATTTTCTTGTGTAGTTAGTTTGGTAAGTTTCCTTAGCTCTACTTGTTTCATTATATTGTCTTCTTCCAATTCTACTAGTTCTTTTGGTTCCCATACCAAGCGCTCCAGCTCAGTGTTGGAAATTGGAATTCGCAAGTGCCCACTCCAACTCAATTAATGGTCAAAGTTGGCAAGTGTCCATTCCGGCTTAGTTGATGGGACAGTTGAGGTCAAGGTCAAAAGGACCAAGGCCCATAGTCCCCGTGATGGGAATGAACCTATTTCCGAGGAGGCCAAGGTCCAAAGTCTACTCATTTGACAACATTACTTATTACTTAATTGTCATGACTCATCAACTCTCAAGTAGTATCACAATATCCATTTCTGAATATTACATGTGCACTAAGAGGTATAATGAGGAAAAGAGGTAAAATAGAAAAATAATAATACTCAATAGGATGACAAAAGCCAAACTGTCACATGCAATAGTCAGAAATGGATAATGTGATATCCGAAACAAAGAAGAAAGAGGAAATCAACAAATCCATATTAACTCGTAGTCAAATATATTATTATCAAATTAGGCAAAGTAAGATAGAAGTAAAAAAAAAAAATTGATGACTAGCTTGTGCATAAGAAGCCAAGGAAAGAAATGAAATGTCCAATAGCTATATTATCAAGCAGCACTAAACAGAAAGACTCTCATTATATATACAAAATATTTTGGTTATCGAATAAAAAAAATTGTACATGAAGATGAAGTAGTAAAAAGCTATCATCATTTCATGATCCAAGCATAAACACTTCTTACACGTATATCAGAAATTTGCTGGCGAGGATTAGTTGGACTTTCCAACCACACAAGCTTGGTCCATGACCCAATTGCAGCTTCAACCTCACTTAGATCACTTGTATTTACTCGTCTGCATATTTTGAGAATAAATGTCAGTATCAATTAGCAGTGAAGATTATAAAATTGTAATCAACATCAGAAAGGAAACTATACTAACTTAATCGCAATTCCTTTCTTCGGAATTACTTGAGACAACAACCGATCAGAACCACCATATATGTCATCCCCAGCAACAATTTCCTCACCTAAAATGTGCACACTTTAATTGTTTAGAAAGAGCTTACAAAGATTCCCAAACACCTCATCACCAATCAAACCAAGAGTGTCAGGAAGTGGGTCGAGCACCAGTTGCAATTAAATGTGTGACAGCAGATAACGCTGCCATTCCACTAGTAAAGCAGAATGCACGGTCGGCTTTATCAAGCTTGGCAAGGAGACTGATCATTACAAAGAAGACGATCAATGACAAAGCAGAGATGTTCAAAACCTGAACTACTGCAACCAGAGCTAGAGACTTGTCACCTTTCTAGCACATCACGTGTGGGATTGCCACTTCTAGTATAGTCATAGGGGCCATTCTCAGTTGCTGACGGCTGCAATTAAAGGAAAGCAGGCAAACATAATAATGAATTTGTGTTTGAGACTGCTATGTCATCTGGAATATGTAAAATTTGCCCATAAAATTGAAGTCCTGCGAATACATAAACTAAAACCATATGTTCCAGCAGTTCTATTCTCAACCCATTTACTAAATTCAACATTTGATCTTTGCAAAATATGCAAGTCAAGAAGTTTCCAGATTATGGTATTGAATTTGACTTCCAATGTTCACAAAATGCTTTTCCATTCAACACAAAACATAACCTGAAATCAATATTTAAGTATACATAATTCTCGATTAGTCTTACCTGCTTAAATGTAGCCGTCTGGTAAAGAGGAGTACTGAGAGCATCATAGGGATCAAATGAATTCCCGAAGTTCAATAACATAGTCGAGACGCTCGGCTCCTTCAGTTCAATATCTGCTTCCAATTGAACAAAATTAAAAACACAAACCAAATGAACCACGGGGAGGGGCAGTTATAAGAGACAAACCATTCAAGCACTCAGCAACGCCATCCACCAAAGCCGATGTGCTCACATCCATATCCCGCTCTCTCGAGCAATTTAGCTCAAATTTCTCACGACCTACAAGCCCCTTTACGTTCTTAGGCAACAGTCTGTTAAACCCAAGGCTCCCTCTTGGGAATTGGATACGCTTCAAACCCTAAGTCATTGCCCAGTGCCCACAAAAGGTTAAAAAAGAAGTAAAATTTTATAAAAAATAAAAAGAAACAAGAGTGACAAAAAGGGTTTTACGTAATCGCTGAGATCAGTAGAGAGAGAGCGGAGGGATGAGTTGAAGGTGGAAGAAGCCGCCATTTTTAAATTGAGGTGAAGGGTTACTGTTCTCTGGTGCTGTGGAGACAGAAACTATGAAGGAAAAGAAAGTGCCATCAAAGTTGCAGAGGGATTAGTTATGAACATGCAGAGGCCAGAGAAAACTCAAACCTCAAAGATTACGACTGTGTCGGCGCAGAAACTGAAGAAAGCTGTGTTTGTTTTTGCTGTGAGCTATCTTCGGGGGCCAGAGGAGACAGAATACTGGCGGAGTCTCCTCGGCTCTTCTCCCTCCCCAGCTGCCTGCCTATGATATGTCACTGACACTGACTCACTGGCTGAAATGGCAATTCCCCCCGTAAAACTGGGCCACCGCCCCGCCCCGCCCCGTTCAACGGGCGGGTTTTCCCCGACCCTAAATAAGAATGGGGCAGGGACGGGGAAAATAATTTTTCTCCGAATCGGTATGGGTGGGGCACGGGTTTTGTATATAATTGTCTGAACTTGCTTCTTTGAATTAGTAAAATATCTCTAAGTTTAATATTAATATTTAAAATATCTCTAAATTTTCCCTAAATTTTTAAAATCCTAAGATCCCATAATTTTATTTTTGAATTACCCCTAACTCAATTCTAAAATACCCCCAAATTCCTATATCCTATGTATAAATTGTCTATAAAATAAATAATTTTTAAGTAAGAAAAATTCGGAGATTCCCCGTCTCCGATGGGGAATGGATGCCCCGCCCCACCACCGAAGACAGGGCAAGGTATCGTGACTTCGGGGCAGAGACGTGGAGAGGGTGCCCCACCCCGTTGCCATTTCTATCCTTGTTCAATTTATGATTTATGTGGTTTATTTTTGCTTGGAAGGGGAGTGGTAATAGTAAAACTAGGAAGGAGGAATGTAGAATATGATAACGTGTTTGGTTTGATACTTTGATATAAAACAAGAGTGAAATACATGGTTAAGCCCCTGTTTCACAACACTTATAAGAAGTACTTCTTTTAAGAGCAGGGACCACACATTAAGTGGTTATTAAGTGATTTTGTGTGTTTGGTAAAAAAGTGGGGAAAAAATACTTTTTTTAAGAAATAAAGTGACTTCAAGTTGGCTTTTTTTTTCAGTACTCCAAAAAAATGGGATGAATCAGTCCCTAATAATTTTTATAATACCTAAAATACCCCCGCATGAGGGTTATACTTCATTTTCCTTTCATTCGAACATCTTTATTACTAGGTAGCGGCGCACCAGTTGCAGGTCCACCAGCGACTATCGGCGGTGAGGAAAAGTGGCCAGCGGACCTATCGTTAGTTCGCAAATCTGGGATCGAATACACTACCACAGAGATCAAACTCTGGGATCGAAACCTAGATTTGGTTGCTGGTATGCAACCTTGCCACTCATTGTTCCCATTTTTTCTTCCTCCGTCCTCAGCCTTGCCATAGAGGTCGAACTCTGAGACCGCAAATTTGTTTTTTCTTCCTCAATCATTGTTCCTATTCAACACAGCCACTCACCACTGTTGCTGGTTTGAACCCACCGTTGCAACGACGATGATGAATAGGAAAAGGGAAAGAGTGGAGACTAAGGAGAAGATGAAGAAAGAGAGATGGTGTGGGAGAAAAAAGAGAGATGAGAGATTGGAGGTGGAGATTAGAATGGATTCATCGCCGCCGTTGGTTCTATGTCGTGAGGAAGATGATGAACAGTGGATTTCAGGGGGGGTCTAAAGAAGAAAAGGAAGAAGAAGTATGAGATGGAGAGGGAGGTCGGAGTATTATTTATTATTTATTAGGATTATTTATAATTATTATTTATTATTTAGTATCATTTATTATTATTTTTATTATTATTATGATTATTTATTATTTATTATGATTATTTATAATTATTATTTACTATTTATTATTATTATTATTATTATTATTGGCTCCACATGGTGATTCACGTGTGGATCCACGTGGACTCAATTAAAATGTATAGCACATAACATGTGAAAAGCATTGTATATATATATAAGCGAAGTGAGGGCTAAAATTGTCATTTGTGTCAATATAAGCACTTATGGGGAAAGTAGCTTACCAAACATCCCCATCCCAATAAGTGCTTAAAAACATAATAAATGATTTGGAAAGTGGGTTACCAAACAGCCTTAATTGGTTGTTAAAATAAGTACTTCTAAGAATACTTGTGCAAACAAGGCCTTAATAGGGGTGATCATTTCAGCCTGGCCTGGCCCACACAAGCCCAACCCGGAAATTCCAAGCTTGGGCTTGAGTTTTGTGTTCAAGCCCGACCCAGGCCCAGGCCCGCAAATTTTAGGGTTGGGCTTAGGCTTAATACTTCAAGTTCGACCCGGGCCTAGCCCAACCCACATATATTTAAACTTACACATTTTGTGTATAATGTATACATGTTATTTTACATTAGATTATATATTTTATATATAAATATTATAACATGACATGTATGATTTATATTATATGTAATATTTTATATTATATAATGTATAAAATAAGTTTATATGCATGTTATGTCATTTAATATAAAATATTATAGATATGTAATATTTTATATATGAAAGACATTGGCACAAAATCAGGCCTAGGCCCGTGTAGACTTGGGCTAGGGCTTATGTTTCAGGCCCAGAACCCCGGGCTGGGTTGGGCCCGGGCCTAAGCTATAGCCCTTATCATAAGTGCAAAGCTTGGCCTGGCCCGAGCCAAAGAGATAGTGCAAAGAGGTATTCAAAGAGTATAGTTTCCAAAGTTCCTTACCTTGAGCAGAGAATACCTATTTATAGTTGAGCTTTTGTGTCCAAGATGGATAGGACTTTCGAGGTTGTTGAGATGAGGGTGTCTGTTGAAGTCTTCGGGAGGATTTCTCTTGCCTAGCAGAGATCGCTTCCTTGTCCATGTAGAACACTTCTTAGTCATGCTCTTCCGTTATGTGTGGCGTTGACATAGCCTAAGAGGGGGCAGTTGCGGAGATTTCCACATGGCATCCTTGGCCACCTCAACCATCACCCAAACAACTATCACAAATCAAATATTTGGAAAACCCTTGGGATGCTTAGTTGAGGGCGAAATAATAACCATCTTAGAAGTTCTATATAACTGGGAGTCAACCACTCACCAAGGTCAAAATGCACTTTGTGATCACATTTTCTACTTAGGGTTTTATTGAAATACTATGAGAGAATGGATATACATTTAAGAGCAAGGCATCAACTGTGAACATGAGGCAAGGACAATATTAAGGAATAAAAGTAAATACCTCACAGAAACCTCGGTTTCATAGAGAGTCTGTCCCATAGGTGCCCTTTTAAGGGCTCATGGGAACATAATAGTAGAAGAAAATAGTGATCTTGCAAGACCGAGCGAGATCTAGTGAAAGAAGTCTTACAGGTTGAGGACAATACGATCTTGTGGAGCTATGCAAAATCATGAATCTAGAACTAGCAGGCAAGTCTAACCTCGTGGCAATGTGGTCTCACATGACTCATATCAAGATTTTATCATTTTGGATTGTGCTCAAGGCAAAATGTATTACCACCTCAAGAAAACTACAAGTTAATTGCATTTGATGGCTACATAAACACATCATTTCCTAAACTGTTCCAAAGAATTTGATCTAACGACCTCGTAGTCCCCAAGACCTGTGTCTATTGGGCAGAAAAAAAGACGAGACTTGCTTTCCACATGTTTGTTAAAGTAAAGGAGATTTTGGAATATATAGAGCTATGCACATAGCTTGGCTCCCTAATCCTATAAGTAGAGGGTGAGGACTCTAAAGAAGGGATCCTCTTCCCTTAGCCATCTCTTCCTTAGTTCCCTTTGTTGATATACTTTTCTAACATTAGCTTTCTTCACCCTTAGACATTCTCATTACCAACATCAAGACCTGCAGACCATCCCCATCTCATTGGCATACACCTACCATGATAGAGGGTGTTACAAATCATGTTAAGCAATGTCATATCTTCCAATTAAACCTATTCAAGGGCTAGGCTTTGCCTCTACATTAATAGAATATGCTTAGGCCCAAACCCAAGCTTGACCCGACCATCGGGCCTAGGCCTTGAGCCCAAGCGTGGCCCCCATATAAAGCTCGAAGATCGGCCATAAATTTGGAAAAAAAGATTTTTTTTACTTTTTAATTCAATTAAAAGCTAATTTATTTATATTAAAAGACCTCAAAACCTAAACAAATAATGCAAGACGTCATTATTACTTGAAAAAAGAGAAGAAAATAAAGAAAAAATATATTATATATATGTTTTTTTATTATATAAAATATAGTTTTATTATATAATACATTATCAAGTCGGGCTTTTTTGAGAAAATCTGAGCCTAACCTGAAAAAAGGTTGGGCCCGATATTTTAGGCCCGAGCTTGAGCTTGCGGGCCTGAAATCCTGTCCAAGCCTAACTTAGACCGAGTTTGGCCGAGCAACCCGTCGGTCTACCCAGCCCATGAACAAGTCTACTACCAATTTCAAGCGCTAAGTCACCATTAACATGCCTAGGAGCTTTACCCAATCATCACCCCCAGTCATTTCACACTTGGAGGATAGACTTGATCGGAAAAACCGCAAGTCCATTTCAAGGGTATTGCTTTATCTTAGTTGCTATTGACTATTTCACTAAGTGGGTAGAGGTCATACCTTTCAAAATGATAATTTCTGCCAACATTGCAAACTTCAACATGCAAAACAACATCCATCATTTTCGACTTCTAATGAGAATACTAACAGATAATGGTTTGTCTATAAAAAAATAAAGAAGTCAAGAGCTTGTTAGAACTTTATGGAATTCGATTAGGAAATTGAACTACCTACCATCCACAAGGAAATTATTAGGCAAAAGCGATAAACAAGATTATTCTATGAATGCTAGGCAAAACAGTAAGTGGGCACCAAAGAGATTGGGTAGATAAACTATCTGATACACTTAGGGCCTATAGGACCTCTTCCATCAAGAAAGCCACAAAAGCAACACCTTATTCTCTAGTCTATAACCATGAGGCAGTATTTCCAGCTAAAATTCAAATGGTACCAACTAGAGCCACTCACACAATGGGAAAGAAACATAACACAAAGGACAAACATTTAGAAATGTATGAGAAATTAGACACCCTCGATGAGAATCATGAACAAAGATTTTAGAAATAGATAAAATATAAACAAATAATGGCTTCAAACTTCAATAAGATGGTCAAACCCCACATATTCAAGAGGGTGACAAAGTTATCAAGATGTCACTCCATGTATGACAAGGCAAGTTTGACAAAAAGTTTAGCCCAAACTAGACAAACCCATGCATTA